TCACAAAAAGAAAATGGAGAGTGAAAGCTGTGAGATGCATTTAAGCAGGAAGCAAAAGGCCTAGACAAAAACTATGAGGGGACAGACAGAGGAGTCAAACACAGGGCAGGTAAGAGTGGGGAGGCTGAGAAAAGAAACAGAGGGCATTTAAGGTTGCAGTGAGAAGTGGATTTTGACACAGGGCACAGGGAAGTAAAGTGCATTATAGATGCTGACTGTGGCTGGACAAGAGGAGATTTTGAAGGTCACAACCCAGCTTCCATCATCCTGAATCATCTATGCCAAAGACAATGGACATTTGCCAGAGTATAGAAGGCCAAAGTCAATTAGAGGTATGTGTAATATTAATTATAGGTCCTATGGTAAATACCAGGTTTTAAAACTGTGTATGTATAAACCTACAATCTAAACCCTTGCCACCTTCCCCCATGCAGATGGCAGACACTGTTACAGTGTTCAAGAGACAGCCCCCAAATGTGAATTGTTAAGTGACAACGTATGGCAGAGAAGCCAGGCTTTAAGAAAACTGCTGGTGCAAAAGTGTAAATGCATCAAACGTGGTTCTGAAGAAAGGCTTCTTTGGGTTACTTGTAGATTTGGGATTTCCCGCATTCACCTTAGAGATGAGTTTGCTAGTACGTGTCTCTGTGTGAAGTAGTAATGATCACAAGGGTGCGCCCTAAGAAGCACTGTGTACAGTTCATTATGCTGTGGTCATTGTGATTATGGCTGGAGATGATCTTCTCCACTTAGAATAGCAGCAGTTATTCTTGCTGTTGAGATATTCCAGAAGCATGTTAGGAAGTTAAATAAGGATGCAAATGGTTATTATGGACATACTTAATTAAAATTCCTATTAGTGGAAAACAGTGTGGTGTTGTATATGTATTCTAGATGCTTGATTAGCAATACATAATATTGTTAATGTTTAAATTAGGGATGATAAGATGGTCTTTCTCAGATGCACACATTGAATAAAGTACCTTGCATGTGAAAAACATCAACCAGGGCCACAGGCTTCCTAAGCTCTGGCTCCTTTTGTGAGATTGCTCAAATAACACAAGCCTCAGCTGCCTATCTGAAACTCCTGCATGGGCCCCACCCATCAAGGCCCCCAACACTCTTCTTCCTCCTTGAAGAGCCCCATCCTTACCTGGCTCCTCCCATTGCATGGCCTCTGCCCCTGCTTCCCACTCTGCCCTGCTCATGCTGTCTCATGTCTTAGCCCATGTGGCTTTCTTTTGCCCTTCAGATCTCAATTCAAGCATAATTTCCTTGGAGAAATCTCAATGCAGAAAGGACCAAGCCAAATTTTTCCATTATAGATCGTATTGATCACTGATGCAGGTTTACATGCATCTGTGTGATTATTTAATTCTTGTTTATGTCTTGCATGGGGGCTACAAGTTCCTGAAAAGAGATACTATGTCTGTTTATTCTCACTTCTGTACCCCAAGAACTACACCACAGTGGGAGCTCAGTTCTTGTGTGATGGTGAATGAATAAAATTCATCAGTCAACTGATATAAAATGGGATGACACCAGCCTCATAATAATAAAAGAATAGCTTACTCCCATCACCAGTATGCCCTCCCTTAATACATGACCCTTGCCTTCAGCAATGTATAATCTTAAATTATAAGCACTGAGCTTACAATTATCTCATTCCTTCTGTCAGCTGCATCTATCCACCACTATCTACCCAGCCAGAATCCTGAATGAACAGTACCTTGCCCCTCAGACACAGATAGCTGTCAGCCTCCCCGCTTGTCCCTGCTCCCTTCCTTTCCCCAATGAACCTCCTGCCCTTCTTCCTTCTTTGCCTCTCCTCTAGGATCTAATGCAGCTGAAGACCCTGAACTGTTTTGTTTATCACATCAGCTATTTTTAATATTTTGAAATTTGTGATTCCCTCTTTCCCTCTCACTTTGTCTTCCTTTCTCATTATTCTTCTCTTCCTCTCTCCTCCTTTCTCTCTCTAGTCATTCTATTTGTGAAACAAAAATTGACCTTAATCATGACAGATAAATGCAAGAGCAGTACTCAAGTGATCCGTCTGAATCAATGAGAAGGGAGATGGAATTAGATGTCATAAAGAAACAGTGTCACCAACCTCAGAAGTCCTTGAAAATGCTCTCAGCCTTCTCCAGAGTCCCCCAAAAATGTATCTCTTAAACTCCTTCTAATCCAGGAGGTCAGCTTTTAGAGTGAATAACTAGTATATCCAGCTTTTAGATGCATTGTTTAATTACACAGCAACAGTGTTATATGCTAGTGCTTTTCATTCTAGATGTATGAGGTCTTAGCTGCTCTGAGTAGCTGATCTTGGAATTCTAAGGGTGATTTTTTTTTTTTTATAATATTGCTTCCATGCAAAAGATCTGGACTTCTGAGCTCTTTTTAAACTTTCATCCTGTCCTGGCAGAAATCTGGTTCTCATGGAGAAAGTTTCTTTTTTTTTTTTTCTTTTTATTGAGTTTATTGGCACAGTCTAGGTATACAATACAGTTACATTCATTATTGGGATCCTGTACCTTTACATGATAGATTTTGATTCTCATTTTTTTCCCTTGTCCTTGCCCTCCCTTCACCCCCTCCTCCCCTCCACATTTATAAACACCTTATTTCCATTTTTTCATTTTCTCATATTTTTTCCTCTCCCTTATTACCTCTCCCCCACCCTTCCTACTTTCCCTACACCTTTAACCCTTTACTTCCTATTTCACATTATTAATTTTTTCATTAGGATCTTGTGTACTATTATAGTTTTTCACACCAGAGAAACTGTTCAGTGTTTCAGTTAAAGAAATCTCTGTATGAACATAAAAAATAGGGAATCCTAAAATAAAACTAAAAAGGAAAGTAAAAGAGAAAAGGCAATGATGTAAAATTAAAATAATCCTTAATTCTGAAGATGAAAATGGTCCCTGAACATATTTAAATTGCTTCTTGCTCTTGTAGTCTTAATTATTCTTTTTTTCATTATTTAGAGAATATTAGTTTCTGTAATCAAACCCACGTAGATATGACCTTACATATTTAATACAGTGCATTACCCCCTTACAAATGGAAAAAAAATTAACATTTCTAGACTAATATGGCTGTCAATTTCTGTGCAATGCCAACTCAACACGCTAAATTGGGATAACTTTTTCCAAAGTTGACAGCACCAGTTAAAGTTTCCAAAAATTCAAATTATATATATATGTGTATATATATATAAAAAAGATCAATAATAGAGAAAGTTTCATTGGAAGAAAGATCACCTGAATTTTAAGAGTGCTGATAATGGCCTGGGAGTGTCAGGCCTTTATTATAGGATCTACATAGATGTCTTAGACATTTGAGCTAGAAGGAGTTCCCAGTGGTATGGCTCCTGGGATCCTTGATAAGCAAGGTTTCAGGTTCATGCAGAGTCTACAGCTGCAGCCTCAGCAGCAATCACACCTCCCAGAAGCCAACTCTACCCAAGGCTGTCTTTTCTACCTGGGTCCTCCCATAGGGATGGGATTTCCCCCTCTTCCCACCTCTCTCACCATCCAGCCTTCAAGGGAGCCTGAAGCCACAGGATAATAAAAATTCCAGCAGCAACAACAGCAGCAGTCATCTTTAATGAGCATCTCTAGGCAAGAAGGACCTTCCCCAGTCTCAGATGAGACTCAGGTACATTACAGAGACTGAAATGTGAACATTTCTGGCAGCCCTCTCCTCCAAGCCCTTGCATATCCCTAGGACTGACATGAGTGTGCTTGGGTTCCTTATCCAAGGAGAACATAAAGGGAGAACTTTATGCAAAATCCAGAGTAGACAAAACCCATATAGTCAAGGTGAGATGCATACAGAGGAGAAACCAAAGTAAGCCCTAGAGAAAAGCAATCAAGGTCCAGGCAGTAGGGTCAGAGCAATGGACCTGGAGGTAGAAATTGGGACAAGATGAGCAGTAAAATTCTGGCATCTCCAGGTAAAAGAATCAGAGTGGGGTGTGAAGAGGGCTGCCTCTCTGTGATGCACACCTATGCAATATCACAGATTTCAAGCAACTGGAACACCAAAGGACACAGGCCTCATAGCCACTGTGAGAAAAAAACATTTGCACAACCTTAGGAACACAGAACTTCTTGTAGCAGGTGGGGCTCTGAGATGTTATGTAGATGAACCAAGCCCAGATTTAAATGCTCTCAGGAGATTCATTTGTTAAAAGAAATTTAAGAAGACTAAATGACTAGCCATCCCCAGCTGTCCTGGTCCATGAGCTTGTTCTCACAAAGCAGGTCTTCCAGAAGTGGGACAGCTGGGCTGACCCTGGCTGATATTTGATCAGCCCACCCTGGTTTCTGATGAGCAATGAACCACTGATTATTGCCACTGATGGTAGCGGTGTCCTATTTGTAGTGGTCTCCAGGGAAGAAGATCCACAACCTTTTTCAAAAACTCATTTCAACTTCTAAACTTCTTCCAGTCTGAGTTTTCTCCTCTGTTCCCAATCCCACACCTCCACCCCTTTAAAATGAACAGAAGAGGTCACTACCCGCTACAGTCTCTGTGTGGTTAGGAAAGCCATTTCTACTTCATAATTCTGCTTTTCCTTTTCCCTAAGATATTCCTAGGTCTTCCTTCTTTTCTCTGAAAAGAGGGACCTTCGGGTTAGAGACCAGGCAGTCACAAGCTTAGTTCCTACCCAAAATAGACTTCTACATGGGGATCTCTGCTCTGCCACTTTTCAGCTGAATCCTCTTGGCCTTCTGACTTCACCACTGTGAGCCACAGGCTTCTCATCTGTGAAGGCAGACGGGGTCAGCAGCTGCCGTGAAGAGCTCTCAGGATTAAAAATAAACCATGCACAGGTTCAGTATCCTTTATCTGTAATGCTCAGAAACAGAAGCATTTTCTGGATTTTGGATGTTTACAGATTGGGAATTTTGTATATACATAATGAAATCTCTTGAGGATGGGACTCAAATTTAAACACAGAATTTATTTGTTGTTATACACATTGCCTGAAGGTAATTTTGTACTGTATTTTAAAATAATTTTGTACACACAAGAAAGTTCCGTGATGTGGAGTTTTTCACTAGTGGTGTCCTGACATTTTGGGGTCTTCAGCACCTTGAACTTCAAATTTTGAGGTCTGAGAAGCTCGACCCTCCATGGCACATGACACATGACACAAGTAGGCTGTGACCCTCACTGTGTCCTCTGTCGTGCTCCTCCACATGCTGTGATAACCTCTTCCATGTGGTTTGGTTTAAGTAATGTTTAAAATATCTGTTGTGAACTGCAACACAAAGCAAAAGCAATCTTTGAGAGAGTAAAATATCAGAAATGGTTTCTGCCCTGAGAAGCTAATAGGTGATTGGCAGAGATGCCCAGACACACACACACACACACACACACACACACACACACACACACCCTTCCAATGTCCTTGCTGCAAGATGGCCAGGCAGGTTTGTTGGTCTGGAGGAAGCAGGTTCCTTCCCTCAGTCTCAAGCTCTCTGTGAAGGCTATAGATTCTTCTCCTTGAGATTTTCCTGGAAGGTTGGTGGAGGTTCTCAAGCCAAGAATAAGAAGTGGGTGAGGAGAGGAGAGGAAGAAGGGCCTAACGTCACTGGGCACACTCTCTGCCCTGGCCCCTGACTGCATGCCACTCCAGTCAGTTCATTGAAGTCTGAGACAATACTGCAAAGGACTGCAGTTGGATGCTTTCCTGCGTCACCCTGGTTCCCCTTCAAGGTTAAAGCAGTTATTTCCCAGCTCTCAGAACTCTCTGGATCTGCACTTGGCTGGAGAAGGTCAAGCCCCACTTCTAAGGAGTGGTAGATGTGTGGCTTTAAAGGCCTGTACCCTTGCTCTGCTGAGCCATCAGGGTTCAAAGCACTTTGTAACCTACACTGCTGCTCAGCTTCCCCCTCTGCCCATACCGGCTTTCTTATCTTCCCACACAGGCACCAGTCGCAGAGCCTCTCTACAGTAAACCTCTGCATGCTCATCTCCCTGTGGAGACTCAAAAAGGCTCTCAAAGGTTAAGAAACTTTCCCTAGGTCACATAGCTTCTAAGTGACAGGACTGGGCTCCAACCCAAGTTAATATGACAAGACCATTATTTCCAGTACATGAAATAAAATTCCCCAATTACTCTTAGGAATTCAATATATTCTTTGAACTCTAAAATTCCCCCAAGAAGTAGGATGTATACTTGAGACCAGCAAAAGGCCTTAGGGTTAGAATGGATGACAACTTTTAGTCCCTGCCCTCACTGCAGTGCTGTACCTGACTTTCTCCACACACAGTCTCAGGTAACGTGGGTCCAGGAAGGTCCAGACAGATATCCTGCAACAGGATTCCAAGGATGTAAGCACTAGTGCTCACCATGCCAACTGCTACTCATGTCACTGTGAGCAAGCTACTCACCTTCTCTTCACAGGCCTCAGTTTCTTCATTTATAAAATGGAAATGATACTTCTGCCCCCAAATTGTTTTTCCATGGTTAGTCTGTATGAAATATTCTTAAACTATTTTAAAATGCACAAAATTTTCTACTTAAGCAGGAATCAGAACCCAGAAAATATGGGGTAGACAATATTTACTCAGAAGCCCAACACAGTTCTTCCAGCTTCTCACTAGTTGGCTTCATCTTTTGTAAAGCTGTGCAGCAAGACCACTGTTGCTCCCAGAGGAAGCTCACACTAACATCCATGGTGCACCTGGAGCATCACAGGGCACTTACATGAGCGGGGAATTGCATATTTGGGGCCTGGATTACAGACATAATTTTCTCAAAAGTTAGCTCTAATTTGATAAACCTCCTCCCTCTCTGGGTCTGATTTCCTCTTTATTGAAATGAAGAAATTGGACTGAATGCTCCTTAGTGCCCTTTCCATCTAAGGTGTGTAGAATCCCATGCAGCTGATGCCCTTGAAACATAGTGCTTCTCCTCCTTCACCCCACTCCTATTCATCAAGTGGCCTCCTCACTCTTGCAGCCCAGATAGGAGGATAGGAAGGATAGGGAAAGAAAGAAGACTGCCAGCAGGGTCCTCCACAGTCCCTGGTACACTCAGAAAACAATAAATCACACTGGCAGTCTTTCTCTGAGGAATGTATGAGTACTGCTTATCTAAATGCCAAGCCCTCATGAGACAGATATAGGTGTGCACAGATACAGTTGACTGTCATTGACTCTCTCATTCCAGCTGAGCATCTGTTTATATTGAGCCTCACTCTCCACTCAATTGTCCACTCTGTAGAGCATTTTAGGAGCTACACACTAATTTTACAATAAGTTAAATAAACACAATTAGGAAGGAAAATGTTGGAAGAGGATGGAGGGAATGAATATACACCAGAGCCAAAAAGACCACGGTTGTTCAGAAAGTCAGTTTACAAAGTTAATGACCAACACATTCTGCCCAGGCTAAGCCCTCCCACCTCACCCCCATGTACTTTGGCACCTGGGGCAACAGGAACAGAGGCAGCTATAAGAGTCTGGTGGAAAGGTTTGCAGCATCCTTACTGTAAGAGACAGATGTGCATCTCAGAAGCAGAGACTTGTTTTGCAGCCTTGTAGAATGTTTCCACAGCAAAATCTCATCACCAACATACTGTACTTTATAGAAAGATGGCTTTCACTAGAAAAAGGTTTGTAATGGCTCTTCTAGTGATGTGGAGAAAACTAAAAGAGTTTTAATCCCATGCATTCTTCATTCACGCATTCATTCATTCATTTAAAAGTACTTACTAAGTATATGCTGCATGTCATTTATTTCACAATCAACCAAACTTATGTGAATCCCCATGTGATTTCAAGCTGGTCTTTTAAAAATTAAGTAGAAAAGTGATGATGATTGACTTTTGTCATCAATCTCTGAAGAACTATTTATGGATTTACTTTGGTACAGGCATCGTGACAGTAGGACTATCAGGCATTTCATATCATCCATGCTTCCATTGTCTACCAGTAGAACTGATATTTATAGATTCTGCAGGTGCTAGAGGAAATCTGTCATATACATAAACCCAAAGTTTTAGGCCTAATGCTGTTGTCCAGTGATAGTCAAGAGGTCATCTTATGAAGCAACATGATTGAGTGGGGTGCCGTGTTGAGAAATATTCTGAAGCAATGTGGATCAATGGGAAGCAGTGTCCCAGGATGCTGGAAAAGGAGAGGTGTTTAGCATCCTGGCTTTTCTATTTTGTAAGCTACATTCCAGCATCCTTTAGGCCTTTTGATCAGAAAGGTTCTTCAGCACAGCAAGGTACCAAAGAGCTGGGATCCAGTCTGTCTACAGTTTCCCTCTCTATTCAACAGAGCCAGCCAAGGAAGCGAACTCCTCTCTGCCAGGCAAGAGCCAGCATCCAGCATGGGCAAGTTAGGCAAAGCCAATTTGGGTTATTTAAGGATATAAAATTTGAGGTGGACAAGCCCTGTAGAATCCTTGCCCTTGGGACTTGGAAAGCCTACCATATATCAGGCCAGGAGCTAAGCACTGAAGTCATATCTCCTTGTAGTTAACTCCAGGGATAGCTGCACTCCTCACCTTCTGTCTGTGTAATTAACTAGCAGTTGTTCCTGTTCTGTGGAACATGGACCTGGCACCCTCTGGAAAGTCCTATGGGGACATTCTCAATAAGATTGGCAGAAAATTGGCCAGAGATGAAGCTTTTGCAGTGCTTAACTGAGAGGACAGGGGACAATTGCTTTTTTCTTCTCCACCTGAAATCACACTTACCATCCACTTCTTCTCCCTCTCTCAGAGCCCTCTCAGTATTACAACAGTGGCCACTGCTGCTGAGTACTAACCCTATGAGATCACTGAGGTGTCCAGGTCAGCCCTGATGCCCACTGCTACATGGGACTTTGGATTGAATTCCTAAACCCTTAGAATTTGAGTGCTAGTACTTTGAATACCCTGAGGAAAATTTCACAGCCATGCATAAGTGGAATACCCAAAGATGCACACCTGGCCAGAGTAGGGCTGGGGCCCACTTCCAATGCTGGTCCTGCCCAAACTCTACTTGCATGTTATCCTCTCCAAAATCCTACAAGATATGCAACAAGCTAGAGCCACATGATCTCCCCAGAGAAGTCACTTCAATATATTAACTTCTCTTACTAAGCCTTCAGCACTAATCTCTTATTTAAATTCCAGAACTATTTTTTTCAGGAATTTAAACATTCTTCAGATGTACCCTGACAGCATTCTGTCACTTTCCTCTTTCTTAAACCTATCCAGTCAGCTGCATTCTTGCCTATATCCTTTAAATTATACATATGGATCTATTCTGTGAGGCAAATGTGGATCTCTGCTGCTTCTGTGGAAAGCAAATGAATAACATTTTGCAATCAGGGGGCCACAGGGAAACTGCTAGAAGGGCTGCAGCTCTTGAAAAGGAGTATGAAGCCACAGAATCACTGATTTCCCCCTGTGGACCCATAAAGAGTGGAGAGGGGAGCTTAGCTATCTGACATCTGTCTGTCTTCATCCAGCCTCAGCTGTCCAAACTCAGGAACTAAAATTCCTTCCTCCTAAATGGTTTGACCCATTCTCAGGGGGCGAAGAAGGTGCTAGAATCTTGTCCTTTCCACAGATAAAGTATCACCTCCTCTGTCTAGCTAATTACATCTTCCATGTGATTGACTTTCCAATGTGTCAACATGACCCCTAGATCTCCCAGAGCAAATAGCTGCTCTTCTCTAGCCAAGCATCTCCAAGTCTCATTGTTTTGGAGATCTAATCCCCAGAACAGTCCAGACACACACCCTGTTAATTCTCTTGGAGGTCAAATCTTCCATGGAGTGCCCAGAGTGGTCCTACATAGAGGTAAACTGAGCTTCACCTCCATGTCCTACCAGAATGTCTATTTAGTAGCCAAAGATGATGTCAAATGTCTGGGCTTCCAAGTCCCCAGGACTTGTTCTCAATCCTCCAAGAAAATGGGCCTAGTTTCCATCAGCAGTATCTCCTTCCTCCCCAAGTCTAGTCTCCTGCCTTGTCTTCTCCCAGTCTGTCATACACATGGCTCAGAGTTCTCCTCAAATACCTCATTTCCTGTAAGGCTTTCTCTACGTGCTTCTTCTCACTGGGATTAGGAGTGGACTGTTTCTGTTAAACATAATCTGTAAAATAAAAGAATTGAGCAGAGCAATCAGATATCCTGTTACTGCATTATCTTTTGGGTTAACTCCTAGCTTTCCTTCCTCCTCACAGGTATGATTATGCCTGACCTGGTGCTATTGCTTAATAAACATTTGCTCATTACATTGAATGGAGGAATGTGAAGGACTAAGGAACAGCAGCTGTTAGCAGAGAAGATGCAGATTGTTGAGAAAGGCATTGGAAAATATCCTTCCCCAGAAAGGAGACTGGAATCAAGACAGGGAAGGTGGGAAGTAACAGAGGACTTCTAAAAAGAGAAGCAAGAAACTACCATGGCTGTGCATCTTGTTTGGAATTCAGGCCAGGAGAGGGATGAAAAAGACAAAGATTGATAAGTAAAGGGTTGTGATTGTCCTAAGTCAGAAGTTTCAAAAGCAAGGTTGGAAAGTCAACTGCACCCTGGGCCTCAGGCTCTTCATCTGAAAAAGGAGAGCCATGGACCAGAGCCTTAGAGCTTGCTAGGAATGCAGAGCCCCTAGCTCTGCCCTGGAACTGAAAGTGCATTTAACCAAATCCACACACAATGCTGTGAAAGCTCAAGTGTGAGACAGCCACTCTGAGTTTCCAAAGCAGAGACCATCAGAACAGGAGCTCAGACTGCTACACTGCGGCACAGCCTGGGGAGACTTAAAAGCCCACACCCTTGAAGGAACTTCCTGGAATGCTAGATATTGCATCTCTTTACTGTGGTAGTGGTCATATGTGTGGGTATAAAATTGTCAACAGCCATGAACTGAGCTCTTGCAATGGGTGCACTGCAGTACATGAAAATTATATCTCAATAAAGTTGAGTTAAAAGCAAACTATACATAAACATGTCATTTACTTCCAGTAAAGCTGTAACAAAAAAATTTACTCTATTCAAGACTCTCATGACTGCCTTACAATATAGTCCATTTCTCCTTGAGAGAAAGGCTGTGCTCAGTCATAAATGCCAGTTGATGTACTTTCTAAGGATACAAATCAGTGTTTCTTTACTTGAATATTAAAATATTCCCTCTTGTTTCACATACAGACAGAGTCCCAAAGCCACATCCTATAGCTATTACATCAAAATGCCTGCATATTTCTTAAGCCTCTCCAGGTAATTCTAATGGGCAGCAGGGCTGAGAACAACATGAGTCCTTCTCACAGGTGTCAACAGTCAGCGTGGCTTCTTTAGGACCCTGATGGTCAGTGGTAAATCAAGGACATGTGACACTATATGTCCCTCTGTGATTTACAGTCTGATTTGACCCACAAGCTACAGAACTGCATAAGAAGGAGGTACAATGTACCCAAGCTGGGCTTCTCCAACAAGTAGAGGTGTCCAATTCAGCCACAAGAGAGGCAAGGGCATGGTGGGCTATTGGAGGTCACAGATACTCACTTTCAAGGTAAAGTTTTTGTTGTTGTTTTTGTTGTACTGGGGATTGAACTCAGGACCTTGCACTTTCAAAGCAGACAGTGGCACCACTGAGCTAATCCCTGGCTCTAAAGTAAATTTTGAGAGCCTCCTATTTCTATCCCACTCAGAATTTCATGGATTGGTAAGTGGAAACTCAGAGATGTCAAATGGTTTCCCCAAGGTCTCACAGCTAGAAAGGTAGGAGGGTGGCCTTGATCCTATCCCTGTAAGCTCCAGAACACAGGCTCTTTCTAGGTGCCACATCAGGCACATGCAGGGATCTCCTGGGGATCTCCCAGCTCTTATCTATTTTTCAGAATCAATGGATTGGTCTACTATGTGGTACTCTGATTCGCTCAAACTTCCCAGGACCCAGGAGCAGAAAGATGAGCCAAAGTAACAGTGGTGCATGTAGGGGTGAGGACGGCTCTCTTTCTCTCCCTCTGAGTGACATCCACACAGCCTGCAATCACAAGGAATGCACTGATCAGAGGGCACAGGTGCCTGGCGCCTCCTCTGAAAGAGTAACTGCTGTGTGTTGGGGGAATAATTCAGCTCCAGGAGGGAGGGTACAGAGAGCCACACTGCCCCTCCTCCTTTGCCAGGGCAACGTAGGATATCAGACAACACTGTGGCTGCCTCCTTATTGGGCTGCTTGGCCATTGTCTCCAAGACAATGGTTTCCGGCCCTGGCTTTGTGTGGGGCTGCCAGCTGAGGTTATTAACCACAGGAGCTGCCTTTGAGGGACATCCAAGGGAGGGGTGAAAGGTCACTCAGAGCAGTGAGGGGAGCGAGGGGGAGCGGAAGTGGGAGGGAGAGGAAACACAAAAGAAAGGGATGAGCCTCTGCCCCCCTCCCCCTCCTTTTGGAGGAACCCCAAACAGAGCTGTGCCCAGAGAGAGGTGTGAGTGGAGGGGGACAGAGGAAGTTCCTGCTGCTGCAAAGAGGAGTGAGGTGTGGCCAGCCATCCAGATGGCCTCAGAGGTGGGAGGCAGACTGGGCTATGGGCCGGCAGCATGTGTCTTTTCAACTGACTCCTAAAGTAAGGGGCCACTCCCCAAGCCCTCCAGTGTTCTATCCACAGGAGGAAAACTGAATGGACCAGAACATGCTGGTTCTGGGAGAGAGGGCCGCCTCCCAGGTTAACCCCACAGGCCTAGGACGGACACCTGCCTGGGCAAGTGGCCATGGATACAGGCCATAGATACAGCTGCAGAAATTGTGTTTGTCATCCTGTGTCACTTCTTTTTAATGATCAGGAAAACCAGTGCCCAGACAGAGACATGACCCATCAAAGGCACAAACCCAGTGGTAGGTGGAACCGGGACTTGGAACATTGTCTACTCTTGCCCTTGGGAGACATTGGGCCTCTGCCATCCAGCTGCAGCCTTCATTCTTGGCCCAAGTCTCTCAGGTTCCATGAGTCCCAAGACTGGGTCTAGCTTCTCAGATAATATCAAGACATGAGCCTCCTGCCACCAACCCCCTCCCATGATACCAGGCCAAGGGAAGACAGCTCTATTCTGATTCCTGAACAAGATAAAAGCAGATAGTACTGCTCTTAGAGCTCTGACCTCCACACCCACCTTGCCAGTCCAGCAGAAGATCCCCAAACTAGAATGTACCAGCCAAAGCAGGGCTGAAAACCAGGCACTTCAGGTGGCTCCCCCAGCCTGTGTGCTAGAAAGGGTGAGCAGGGGTGATGATCAGTAGAATTATGAGATAATAAAGCTTTATAGCTTATCTGTAAGCTTGGATATGAACAGGAGTTGTATGAATTATTCTACTCAGAAAAGTATGAATCACTCCATCCAACTTCTGTTTAGTGTTATAACATTTTTATCTCCAGACTTCCACCTCCAGCCTGACTCCAGTCTTCTGGTGTTCTCCATCCCCTCCACTCATGGTCCACTAGACCCCCAAGGCCAGGCAAGCTTGGCTGCCTCACTGCCCTCTCCCTTTTACCCACCCCTAGGAAGCCCAGCCTACACCACCTCAGCTGTCCCGCCCTCACTCCTGCCCAGGCCATTTCCAAATCTCCTCCTGAGCTTGGCTGGTTTCTTGGCCATTTCTCTCCACTGTGATCCTGGGGCTCCCCCTGCTTGGTAAAGCAGCCTAGTGGTGGATCTGCCCTTCCTGCAGCACAGTAGCCCTTAGACTGATAAACAGCTTGGGACTCATTTGAACAAACTCATGGTAAGCAGATCAAACTAAAACAACAATGTAGTCTCTCCCTCTCTCCCCCCCCTCTCTGTTTTCTCTCTCTGTCTTCTCTCTCTCTCTCTCTATCTCTCTCTCTCTCTCACACACACACACACACATACACACACACACACAATGATACATACTCACATATAGCTGCACCACAACCCTACAAATTGTCTGTATTATCTCTCTCTCTCTCTCTCTCTCTCTCTCACACACACACACACACATACACACACACACACAATGATACATACTCACATATAGCTGCACCACAACCCTACAAATTGTCTGTATTAGCATCGACATTTTGGCCATCTTCCTTTTCTGTCCAAAGCTAAAGCCATCATCCCCCTGCCCTCTGCCCTAGATTCCCTTCCTGAAACCTCAGAACATCTCAGCCCCAACCACAAGCATGCAGCTACCTGAAGTGCCACTGGAAACCTGGGGGACTTCTCTTTCCCCTCATCATGGTCCACCATCTGATACTGATGGGTACTGAGGTCTTATAGAGTGAGCTGCACATGGGGACAGGGCTCAGCTTGGGGCCTTGAGTCCAACTACTGTGCCAGGCCCACTTCAGCCCTCTCTTCATTAATACCCAAGAGGCCCAAACTTTCCAGAGTTTGGCAGCAAATTAAAATCCTAACCAACAACAACAAGAAGAGGGGGTGGAAGGAGTGGAAAGCAAATGAAATGTTAAAAAAAAATTAAGCAATATGTACTTGCATTCTCATTAGTAAGAACATGTGAGATGAAGCACATTATGTTATTAAGCATTCTCTCGATTCAGTAAACACAAGCTGAATAAATTTATAAATATCAGCATTAAGTGAGATTTAACGGGAAGCTGTTTATCTTCCTCCTGTCAGGCAGGAGGCAATGCTCTTCATGTATCACTCACCAGCCCTGCAGCCTGCACCCTCCTGCCCAGGTGAGCCTGGCAGAGCCACTGCAGTGGGTCTGGTGGTAGGAGGAGCTGCACCACAGAGCAGCCACCAGTGTGGATCCTGAATAGTGACAGCTCCAGAGCCAGGTACCTGAGCTGTATTCCTGTCCCCTCAGCTGCAGCAAGTGTCTCTGTGACTTTGAGGATGCCAGCTAATATCTCTAAGCTAAAGCACCTCAGTGTGGCTTAGTGTACCCACCAAAATTCTTGTTGAAGTTGATTGGCTGTGTATGAGACATGAAGACAGAGGACCAGGTAAGACCTGTAAATGGCAATGAGGCTATCAGGGCTTACAAACATAAGTCCACTCAAAATGTTATGAATTACTGAATTACCTTGAGAGCTGGACTATTATTATAAAAACCAGTTTAATTCAGTCTCTTCTGTGCACTCCTCTTATGATGTGTTCAATGCTGCCCTGGTACTCTGGAGAGTCTCCACCAGCAAGAAGGACCTCACTGGATGAGACAACCTTGGACTCCCCAGATTTTAGAACAATGAATTAGATAAATCTTTATTATTTGTAAATTACTCAATCTGTGGTATTGAGATATAGCTTCAGAAGACAAACTAAGACACATCTTAACTGAAGTTGCTTTAAAAAAGTAGTGTCAGCTAGATATGTGTTGGCCCACACCTGTAAACCTAACATGTTGGCAGGCCTGAGGCAAGAGGGTTGGGCATATAAATCAGTGTGAAAGCCTGTGTTCAGTAAAAGGACGGATGGACGGAAGGAAAGAAAGGAAGGAAGGAAGGAAGGAAGGAAGGAAGGAAGGAAGGAAGGAAGGAAGGAAGGAAGAGAGATCAGTGTCTACCTCCTGAGACCACTAAGAGCATTAAATCTTATTGTTCATTTCCAGCACAGGACTAGGGAATATGGAGAGGAGCAGCAGGTGCTGGGCTCTGCCATCCTAGATGAGAGCAACAGAGATGCCAGGGGAAGGGAAAGAACAAGGCTGCCTTAGGGAGGATGTGGACTCCTGGAACCTAGGTGTGCATCCTGGCTCTTCCAGGACCCCAGCGGGGCTTTTCCTGGGTGACTCCAGCTCTCTACACTTCCATTTCCTCCTCTTATTTTCTTAAAGTCCTTCTGGGGCTAAATTGTCTGTAACAGTTGTCAAATGAGTCCATACACAAAGAGTATCAAATGTTGGAGCAAGACAAGGTCACCAAGGATTGGGGTCTTGTGACAGGTGAGATCCTGATATGAAATGCATGGGTCCCTGGTCCCTTTGTGATGCCTGCAACCTGCCTCCCACTTCCTGAATCCCACCTGTGGTCTGGAGCTCTGTGTATGGGCTTGGTGAACTAACAGCCTCTCAGACCACCCAGCATGTCCAAAGTTTCCAGCTCCCTATGCCCAGCCTGGACCACAGGCAGTATCTAGAACCCATTTTCTGCTCCCTTACACATGAACACATCCACAAATAAACAAAAGAGAAGATAAAATAAAATCTGCTCTCCAGCCTGGTTAATACATCTTGGCTCAAGGGATCCACCCCTGCTCTGTGGCTATCTTGTCTTTTTTCTTGGAGTAGTATCTGTGTTGCTCCCATCTAGAGTGCAGAGCCCAGCCAATTACCTGCTCTGCTTTGGTTTAATTGCCAAACACTGGAAAATTTGGACCCCTTGGATATTAATGAAGAAAGGGTACAGTAGGCTTGCAATAGTAGTTAGACCTAAGTCCCCAATGTGCTACATCAACACAAGGCACAGTAACAGGTCGCCAGTAAAGAGCTGTTGCAGATGTGACTGATACCAGTTTTCAGCTAAGAACCCTTGGACCTTTATAAAGTCCTACCTAAGTCCCTGAGAACAAAACAAATACTAGGGTCACATATGAATGCAGGAGCTATCCAAAAGCATGTGCTTTTCAATGCATGACAAACATGGAACATCCTGTTTTTCTCTACTCCTACTGAGGCCCAGACCCCAAGGATTTACCCAAAACAACCTACCCAGAGCTGTGGGTAGATGTTCCATGACCAAAATGTGCAATGGGTCTACACCCCCACCCACACACTGTAGACAGAGGAGCTCACAGAGCAGCAAGAATGGCATCTGAGACCAAATCCCTCCTTTCCACAGAGAAATTAAACAGAAGGAGGACATAAGAAGATGATGGAGGTGTTTCCTAATGTTTCAGACTACCTGTTCTTCATTCATGAAGATATTGAAGAAGGTTATCTTTGCAGGACACCCCAGCCCTAAATCCTACACACTACCCTTGTTGCCATCAGGCCATACAGGGAACAAAGATTCTGTGAGCTGAGCTGCAAAGACACAGCTTCAGCTGCTTATTTACAGATCCTCAAGTGCAAGTATATTGAATCTTGTGACTGAGATAAGCCCCCAGGCAAAGTCCATCATTCAGCCACATTTAAAAGAAACTGGCTATATGTGAGGCTTTCTAGCAAAAGCTCTGAAATAAATGCAGATAATGTGAAAGTCACATACTCCAACAGACCACCAAGAGAAATGGTTTCCAAGTGTGGCCCTGGGCCCCATTTGGTCTGAAATCAGGCTTAGAGTTTTCTAATTGTCCAAGTCTGTCAAGGCTGCTATAACAAAAAATCATAGCCTGAATGCCTTAAACAATATTTATTTCACTCACTTCTAAAGGATAGAAACTAGAGATTAATCTGACACTGTAGTTGGGTGCTTGGGGAGGGGTCTGGCTTGAAGATGGCTATCTTCTTGTTGCATTATCACAGGACAGAGCAAGTCTAGGGTGAGGGGAGTGAAAGGAGATTGGCTCTCTCCTATTTATTCTTATAAATCACTAATCCCACCATGAGAGCTTGACCCTAAGGATTTAATTGCCACACAAAAGCCCAATATCCAGATATTGTGCCACCAGGGAACTTCAACATGTAAATTTGGGGATATAAAAATTTTGGGGATAAACATGTAGTCCGTAACACTCAGACCTCTGTGTCTGCCTACTGATGCCTTTTCTAGGGTTATTTTGAAAGTCTCAGCCAAGGGAATCAGGCAGAGACGACACATCCTGAAGTCTCAAGCTGGGTCCAAAGATAAGGATTACAATAATGAAGTAAGTCACATTTCACTGGATTCCTCCCACCTGCTCTTTAGGGAGACTGTCCATATTAATATTTCACTGAGTATTTCCAGAAGTCTCAAGATAGTTTCACAAGCACTGACATCAATAGATATAAAGAATGAAAAATAAGGAATGGGAGAAAGACTAGAATGTAGCTCAGTGGTAGCACTTGGCAAGTCCTGAATTCAAAATCTCAACAGTGGTGTGGGAAGCAGCAGAGAGACACACAGAAAGAGACAGAGAGAAAAAAATATCAGACGATGGTGTGTGTGTGTGTAGAAGCTATGTTGGGCTTTCGATATATTTTCTTTGAGGTTCTTCAGAGGTTTCCAAGTGGCAATGTTTTCCCTGAGCTTAGAGAGACAGCATGGCCAGAGAGATATATCTGTTTCCAACTTAGAAGAAAGCACTGAAGCATGAAGGTTGGGAGGAGGCCAGAGGAGAGTGTATTGAAAAGGAAAATGTGGCCAAGGCCCCAACATTAAAAATGAACCTTGAATTGGAGATAGGAAGAGAAGGCAAAATCAGAAAACAAGGCACATTGAGACAATTGAGAAAATAGGAGAAGCCTCAAGTGTGTAAAGGATCTGGACATCAAGTTAGCAAAAGTTAACCTTTTGTTCTCATCAAGCCTAGAGTGGATTAGGACTCCTACATTGCAGGGCAGTCCACTTTACTCAGTTTACCAATTCAAATGTAAATCTTACCCAAAAAACCTGTACAGACATACAGAAATGTTTAAACAGATATCAGAACATCCAGTGGTCTAGTCACCTCTTGGATATAGTGTGATCATGAAAGAGGCAAAAGACAGACATGACAAGCCCTGCAGGGAAGTCACATGGTAAGCACTGCGTAGATGGCACTGAATTTGGCACTGATAACATTCAGGAAAACCATGGAGGAGCAAGATGTGAAAAGATAAGATGCCAAGGAGCCAACTGGCATTAGGACATTTAGGAAATCTTCTGGGTCCTCCAGAAGAGAAGTCCTAATCTCAATACCTGACCTTATCAAGAAATAGGGTCTTTGTAGATATAATCAAGTTAACATGAGGTCATTAGGACAGCCCCTTAATTCTATATGACCCATGTCCTTATAGAAGAAGGAACCCAGTCATGTGAAGATAGAGGCAGAGATTACAACTATGCTTCCACAAGTAAAGGACTCCTGGAACCACTAGAAGCTGGAAGAGGGAAAGAGGTCTCCTCTTACAGCTTCAGAGGAAATAAGTGAATATCTACTACTCCCAGAACTATGGGAGACTAGATTTCTGTTGTCTGAGGCCAAATTTGTGGTACACTGTTATGGCAGTTCTAGAAAACTAATATGGGTAGTACATTTACCTCTATAAAAATTGTTTTTGTGAAGAGATGGACCTACACAGTTTTATGAAAAGGAATGCTTGCTGTTCATGGAAATACTTGAGTACATGCACAGACCAAGAGAAAAGAATCTACAGCCAGAAGTTGAAGATTCAAAACAACAGAATGGTTATTGAAGCATGCAGGAGTCAGAAAGGGATTGAAATCAGAACCCAAGTGACATAATTGGCATTTTCTTAAAAGGGGGCACCTTTTTTTTTTTTTATCTGAGATCGGGTGTTTTGGCCCAGATTCTACAGCAAGCAGAACCTGAAGCAAGGAATGATGTGCTGGCACTTTATATGGGTGAAAGGTTCAAGCCTAGAACAGTGAGGTAATAGATAAATGGAAGCAAGCTAAAGGATGAGGGAAAGTCCTGTGATGAAATGCATTTTTATGCTAGTGGCAATGTCACAGCAAGCTGTGAAGTTGTTATCAGAGTTCTATGGAGAAACAGAATCAAACACACACACACACATATGGAGAGAATATAGAGATACAAATAGAGGCATACAGATTGATGATACAGAATATATATTCCCATAGGTTAAAAAAATGACAAATAGAAGCAGAAAGAAATAGAAATTTAGCATAAAGAATTTGTTCATGTGATTATAAAGGCTGCAAAATCCCACATTCTGCCATTTGCACACTGGAGTACCAGGAAATTCAGTGGTTCAGTTACAATTCAAGACCAAAGATCTGAGAACCAGAAACATCAAAGGTGTAAACTGCAGTTCAAGGGCAGAAGAAGACTGATGTCCCAACTCAAGCAGTCAGGCAGCAAAAACAAATTCTCTCTTCCTCTACTTCTTTTTTATTCAAGGTTTCAGTGGACTGTAACTCCCACATTGCAAAAAAATCCACTTTCTTCTGTTCAATTCAATCCAGAAAGACCCTCACAAACACACCCACATATAATGTTAACCAGATATCTAGGTACACTATGGTCTAGTGAGATTGGCACAGAATTATCCGCACAGACACATGGCAGATCATGCACAACACAAGACTACTTGCTGTATCGGGCTCCTCTGTAAGATTTTCAAGGAGAAATCATACCTTGAACTCCCCACCAAAAGGGGGAGGGCTTTCTCTGATGATCCCTCTCTGGTCTTCTACTTCTCAACAAAAGATTTACTGCACAGGAAACAAGTTCCCCTAAAATTTTGAATCACGTCATCCAGTCTTCCTTCACCAAAGCACATTGAACTTCATGGTAGTGATCAGACTGAAAGTGGAGGATGGTCCAGCAGGGTGTGGGCTCCAGGCACAAAAGAGATCGAGGGACTCCAGGAAGCATGCAAGGTTTTTTTCTAGTAGTACGCCAGGGAAAAAGAGAAAATGGATGAGTGAACATATAGAGACACTTTTAGTAAAGAGGAGAGAAGCTGAAATTGACTTTCAATGGTTGTTGATGATAGAGACAGACCTCAAGCAGACTATAGAGAAGGAAGGGATGACTAATCAAACCTGAGCAAAGTAAATTGCAATAAACGTTATACTATGGAATCCAAGGAATTCAAAGCTGCACACTAGAATTCACTTTCCTCAATACTTTCATTTTAAAGATGAGGCAACAAGGGTTTTAGAGATTAGTGATAAATTAGAAACTTACACTGCTTTTTAGCTGACTACCCTGTTCTCATAATTAGCAGTGTGTGTGTGTGTGTGTGTGTGTGTGTGTGTGTGTGTGTATGCGTGTGTGTATGTGTGTGTGTGTGTGTGCGTGCGTGCGCGCGCGCGCGTGCGTTTAAGGATTGCTTTAAGCATTATGGTTTAACCCCACCTTTGCAGTTACTCACATCTACATGGAAACATAGATGAGCCAGGAGGCTCTAAACCAAATATTTCTCCACCTGGTGGCACTTACCTGAATTGCAGGCAGAGACCAACCCTTGGGAAAGAAATAGGGAACACTGGCACTATCTTGGGATCCATAGCTAATACTTTTGTAGTTGAAGAAACTACAAAATGCTAAGACCTCTTTCTAGCCTCAGACAGTTTCCCATAGCCTTGCCTTAGTCGTTGGGAATCAGCCTGCTTGTTACTGCCTCCTCCCCACTCTGTGTTCCCTCTTTGTAGTTCCCTTTTCTATAAAGGACACTGGAAATAGGGGGAAAGCAGCAAACCAAATGTGTGAACTGTGACCAGTACTAGTAGTGGCTTCCAGCTCTTTGAAGACTTCCAAAGTAGTGAATGGATTGGACACCCCCCATACACTTGCCCACCAATGTGAAAAGCAGGGAAGAAATTATTGGTCACCTCTCTCCTTTCCTTTTATCTGAAAAGTGGGTCTCACCAACCTCAACTGCTCAGACCTTGGTCCCCTTCCCATCCTGGCCTCCTACACCATCAAAATGTACCTTCCCTAAAGATCTACACCTTGAGGGTCAAGTGCTCTGCTTTCTGAATGACAGCAAGTTCATCGAATGTCTGTTAAGTGTCTGCTGATACTCTATTTAGCCTTTGCATTGATAACTATCACACTATTCTTCACAAAAATAGTTGTTTACTGTCACATCTCTAGAGTCATAGTGCCTGAATTAGGTGTCATTTCAAGCCACTTATGGCTTGCCTCAAGAAATGTGAAGCTAAAACAGGAGAAGGTATCTACAGGGCTCAAAGCCACACCCCTCATGTCCTGCCAAAAGGATTTCCTCTGGGATTTGATAATAGACACACTGATGTGTGCAGTCATCCATTCCCAGTATTAGTACTAGGGGCAGATTTAAAGCTCATGGGAAGCCAGTTTAGGATCAAAGAAGAAGGTGGGGAGAGACAATTATTCAATTTTCTTCACTAGCCATGAAAATAGTCCTCAAATAATGTGTTGAGAAACTACTCCAAGAGTAGAATTTCTGGTAGGAGATAAGAAAATAAGAGTCTAATGTCATTGTTGCTGTGTAAAAAATTACTAGGAGGGGAGGAGGGGGTGAAGGGAGAGCAGGGGTAAGGGGAAAAAATGAGAATCAAGACTTGTCATGTAGAGGTACAAGATCCCAACAATGAATGTAACTGTACTGTATCCCTAAAATGTACCAATAAACTCAATTAAAGCTGAAAAAAAATTATTAAACTTAGCACCTTAGAAATAACAAGCATTTATTAGCTCAAACATATATTCCTGTGGATAAGAATCCAGGAGTTGCATAGGTGGTGAATCTGACCCGGGGTTTCCCATGAGGTTAAATCAAGCTGCCAGGCCTGCAGTAATATGAAAGCTCACTTTGGGTGGAGGATCCACATCCAAAATGTCTCCTTTGTATGAGTATTGATGGGGGCCTTGGAGTTTTGAGGCTGTCTACAGCAGTCTTTCATGTCTCACTATGTGGGTCTCCCCATGAAAATGTGTGAGTATCCTCAGGATATGGCAGCTAGCTTCCCTGGCATGTGACCCAAGAGAGAGCAGGACAAAAGCTTTGTGTGTTTCATAATATGGCCTCAAAATGGACATACCATCATATCTGCATACTGTATGACTATGCACATGGCCCTATCCCATGTGAGAACTACACAAAGGCATGAATAGGAGGAGGCAGGGATCCTTTGCTTTGGGAACCTTAGGGGGCCATCTTGAATTTGGCTATAAAATATTACATAGTGAATTCAATGGAACTCATTACTTCAATAAAACTAAACATACTTAAAGCTAATAAAATCAGCTTTATGAATAAAACTAATACATACTGAAGATCAGTGATTCTTAGATTTAAGCAGGCATCAGAATTATCTGTATTCTAATGCACACATTGCTACAGTCCACCTCAAGTTTCAGATTGCACAGGCATTGGGTATGGGACTAAGAATTTGCATTTCAGAAAAGTTTGCAGATGGTCCTCATGCTGGAATTCTTGTGAACACACCTGGTGTGGATAAATTCCTCAAACTTTAGAATTTGAAAACTTCTTTCCCAGACAGGTCTTGAACTCCTGGGCTCAAGCACTCCTACTGCCTCGCCTCCTAAGTAGCTGGGATACAGACATGCTATTGAGCTCAGTTTGAAGATTTCTTGAAGTTCTAATGACTCAATAGGCCCCAAATCCAGTTGATCATCAGAACCACCAGGGAGAGATTCTAGAAACTACACACAATCCTCGCATTTGCTTACCCTGAATCAAGATTTTGCTTTGGGTCTCAGATGTAGGGCACAAAGGAGAAATTTTCTACAGAGGTACAGAAAAGTTAATGAACTCATAGGAAAAAAAAAGATGGAAGAGATGGCAGGCTACCCAATGGCCTTCTATTTCCTTATTCTCAGAAGACACCTAGAATAACATTCTAGGCAACAGAGACAAGGCAGGTGGTATCACAATTCCCAAATTGAAACTATACTACAAAACTACTGTGATAAAAACAGCGTGGTACTGGCAAAGAAACAGACCTGAGGATCAATGGAATAGATTAGAAAGAAGATGCAGAAATAACACCAGACATACTCAGGTACCCCATCCTTGACAAAGGAGCCAACCTTCTTCCCTGGAGGAAAGATAGCCTCTTTAATAGTGTTGGAAAAACTGGCTTTCAACTTGCCAAAGATTAAAACTAGATCCCTGTCTTTCACCATGCACTAAACTAAAATCCGAGTGGATTAAAGATCTAAATATCAAACAGAAACACTAAACTTACTGGAAAGTAAATTAGGTAGAACTCTTGAAGACATGGGCATAGGAGAAGACTTTATGAACAAATCCTCAGCAGCAAAAGAACTTGAACAAAGAATTAACAACTGGGATCTCATTGTGTTAAGTTTTTGCAGTGGAAGAGAAATCACCAACAGAGCTAAGAGACAACCCACAATGTGGGAAAAAAATTTTACCAGCTACTCCTCAGACAAAGGACTACTATCTAGAATATATAAAAAACTAAAAAGAATCAGGCACCCCAAATACAAAGACCCAATTAAAAAATGGCATCTGAAATGAACAGACATTTATCAGACAAAGAAGTAAAAGCAGCAAATAAATATATGAAAAAAATGTTCCATATCAATGGTCATTGGAGAGATGCAAATGAAAAAAACACTATGATTCCACCTAACCCCAGAAAGAATGGCTGCTATCAAGAAATCAACCAATAACAAATGCTGGCAGAGCTGTGGGGAGAAAGACACCCTTCTCCATTGTTGGTGGGAGTGCAGACTGGTGCAACCACTGTGGAAATCAATATGGAGATACCTCTAAGAACTAGGATTATAGGTTCCATTTGACCCAGCTATCCCTCTGCTGGGTATCTTTCCAAAAGAATCATACCACAGTTATATATGTGCACCCATATGTAGTAGCATAGTTCATAATGGCTAATACTTGGAAACAACCCAAATGCCCATCAACTGGAGACTGGATAAAGAAGATGTGTTTTTTCTATAAAATGAAGTACTATTCAGCCATAAAGAATGAGAAACTAGAAATGTTTATAGCTAAATGGATGCACATTGAGGCAATACTCTCATGTGAAATTAACAGGATCCACTTGATTAAATACTGAATAGTTTCTCCGGTGTGAAAAACTAAAAATGTAAATATGGTTCAAAAGGTATAACTGAGAGTGTGAAATAGGAAGAAAATGGCTAAATGGGAAGTAGGAAGGGGAGGGAAAGGAAATAAAGGAGAAGAAAAAATGAAAACAAAGTCTTCATAAACAGGGAAGGGTGAAGCGGTGAAAGGTATGGGGAAAAAACAAGAACCAAGATATATCATGTAAAGGTACAAAATCTCAATGATAAATGTAACTGTATTGTTTGCTTTAATTGTACCAATATACTTAATGAAAAAAAATTTCCTGATTCTGGTCATTTCTAAGGCTAAGCTGATCCTTGACCTTTGTTTCCACAACTCATCTCCACATCTCTACAACCTACCCTCTGCTTTTTGCCTAATTAGTTGTCTTTTTTGCAATTGAAGAGTTTTAGTGAGTCTATTACCCAGAAGACTCTTGGCACTGTTCAGGAAAGTAGGCCTTCCCAGAATGGGGAAACACCTCCTTCCTGGCATGTATTCCTCAGTTGCTAAACACATCCAGACGTTTCTTTTTACCTTCCTTCAACTAGCAAGAACCTGTCTGCATTCTACCACACCAGTACCTTCTTGCACCTCCAGCATGACGTACTCCAGGACAAGCCCAGCTGGATATCACCATTCCTTCTAATCCCTTTTACAAAATGTTCCTTTTTTTTTTTT